AAACTAAAACACTTACTATGAAGTAAGAGATCTGTCCAGTGAAAAGACATACCCCCCGGATCTCCAGTAGACCATTTTTCGAGCTAACATTCATACTACGCACCTGCGGAACTCCTCGTCGCCCACAGGCGGTGCGCCGAAAGTGTACGTGCCTCGCAGAGTGAATATGTCGTCCCAATTGAGAGATGGCGTCGTGTGATGCAAACCCAGCTCATCGCGCGAAGTGTGGAGGATAGTAGCCGTGAAGAGCGACGCTGCATGATTGTGTGTGTACGAGTTCAGTCACATGCTCGGTGCGTTGGAGACCCGTATACCACCCAACCAGCGTTAAGGCAAACACATGATACGGATTGGAGGGCATAGTTGAATAGCAATGGAAAAACAAAGCCAGTTTGGCTAAGTACAACGAACAAACACAGGCTAAGCATTGGAAAACATGTAAAATTGTAATCGAAATAAGAAACCAATTCACACTGGTAGTATTCAAGAAGCGGCGTAGCACATATTCGTAATAGAGATGCATGACTTAAAGCGAGTTTATCGCCCTACGAATATTATGACAGAACTATTCGAACGCGCATAGAGATCTCGTAATCATCCAAATATGTTTGACACTGAAGGAACATATTTTAGCAAAGAAAATTATTGTACCGACAACTACCATATGGCGTACAAGAAGAACAAATATACTGGAGAAACGTCGGTCATCAACGACATTATATGCGCAAGCTGAACACAGACAAACACGCCAAGTGCCTGAATACTGTAGTAATACCATACGCATGTACTTGACATAGAACAAGCAACCACTAAACATAAGGCATGGAATTACTCAGTATACCTGTGGCGCCTCCGAGGCCGAACCCCGAAATCCACAGTTGTGGCTTGGGCGCACGATCGCTTCTGGGCTCAAAGCTCGGCAGCACCACATCTGTGATGAAGTTACTGATCGCGTAGACTAGCGGCACTTGCTGTGGTTCCTCGCCCGTGTATATGCCTCGAGGCATCTCAGCTTGCGTCTTGTTGTAGGAAGTATTGGGTAACTGAAGGGTACGAGTGCACAATAAAGGGGGTGTATGGGTAAGTAGTGAGTTATCGCGCGGTGCAGACCAAGCACGTAGCAGAACCCTACGGATATGCGATATGGATTGGTGCGACGGTCACGAACTGAGGTCCTGTCCTTCCTTTTCCAATGGGATGCAATGTAAAGCAATGCAAAGTATTGTAGAGTAATATACATCAAGGCAAAGCAGTGTATAGAAATGAAAAGCAATGTAAAGCGATGTAAAGAAATGAAAAGCGATGTAAAGCAATATAAAGCATTGTAGATTAATGTACAGCAAGGCAAAGCAGTGTAAAGCAATGAAAAGCAATGAAAAGCAATGTACAGTAATGTGCATAATGCAAAGCAATCAAAAGCAGTGTAAAGAATAAAAAGCAATGTGAAGCAACGTACAGTAATATGTACAGTGTAAACCAATGTGAAGTAACGCAGAGCAATGTCAAGCAATACTAAAGCGATACACAGCAATGTAAAGCGCTCTCCCTGTGCTAGTTCTGGGCACAGCCACACCCCACACCCCACAGTATGTATAGAGAGTTCATTTCAACATAGTCCTAGCCAGCCCACTCGTGAACAGTGCGCGTATCGTCCATCTAGTACCTGGAGAGCATCGTATGCGGTCGTGTGCACACCGCCACGGAACATGCCGGTCGCCGAGAAGCGCTTCTGCGTCCCCGTGTTCATCACGTACTGAGCCAGGTGAAGCGGCGAGGAGCCCTTGAATGAGATACACACGAAGTTACTGATGACCGACCACACCACCAGTACCATTCCCCGATCATGACCAAACCTGCAGACAAATCATACAACGATCGTGGCATCTACCAGTGAGTAGAGATGTAAACACGGTCATCTAGGTGGCAAGGTATACAACGATCGTGGAATTCACCATCGAGATGAGAAGCAAACATGAAAACCTAGGTGGCAAATGATGTACAAGTTTGTGATAAAATGCAGTCCCGAATGTGTGTATATTCTGTGTGCCTGTGGCACACTACGCCGTTAAACAACAAAAAACCAACAAGATATTCGCACATAACATGTGCGCATACCTGTGGAACTCTAAGTCGTCGTTGAACAGCTCTCTGAGCTTAAAAATGAAGGTAGAGAGCACTATATCGTCCTCGTACGAAGCGGCGTTCAGGTGACAAAGGAAGTTCGCCAGGTTGTGGTTAGGTTTATTCAGTGTCTGCACATTCTCTACACCTGCAAGATTATACTTCAAATCTCGCAACGCGGCGCTGAGAATATATAAGTAGGTAGGTATGTTATGGTGAGTTATGGTGAGGATGTATACGTAGGTAGGTATGTTATGGTGCGCTATGGTGATATTGTATAAGTAGGTATGCTTGTTATGGTGAGGTATGGTGAGGATGTATGAGTAAGTATGTGTTCAAAGGTGAGGGAGGATGTATAAGCAGATAGTTATGTGATGGTGAGATATGGTAAGGGTGTATAAGAAAGTATTTAAAGAGTAGATAGGTATATGCTATGGTGAGTTATGGTGGTATAAGTAAGTATTTTATGAGTAAATAGGTATATGTTATGGTGAGTTATGGTGAGGATGTCTAAGTATTTTATGAGTAGGTTCCTATACTATGGCGAGTTATGCTGACGATGTATAAGTGGATGGGTACATTTTTGGTGAGTTATGGGAGTATGATCATAATAATACACGGCAATAGCCGCGATAAAAAGGAGCTCTCATTACTATGACCAGATATAACCCCTTGAGATTGAACCTACGCATTCTTGAACAAACGCAAATCGATAGCCCCCAAAAAGCCACTTAAAGGCCCCCAATGTTCAAACGAAGACTCCATAAGCTTACCTGCCGACGCTAACAAGCCGCAGATAGTCGGCGTACAGCCTGGGAGTGGTCGCATTTACCAAAGAGAGGGCTCGGCGGGTGTTGCAAACCTTCCCATCGATATGGTCTGCATACATGCCCACTCTAAACTCCTGCCTGGCCACAGTTATCCACGGCAGGGCTGAGACAGATATGTACTTTAGAGCTAGACACGGCAACACAACTCCAATGAACATAAGCAGTTGCCAGAAGAACACCAGGATCGTGTTGAGAAATGGGGCCACCAGCTCCTACAGGCCAGGTTGGAGTTTAGGACCATGGTTTAGTACAATGACTAGTAAACAAGAAATATCACCCGCGATGCTAGACCACATAGCACCACAATGATTATAAATCCATACGACGCTTCGTGACAAATTGGGTCCAAGTACATATTACATCGAACTACGACCACACCTATCCTGGGGGTGACTGGTGGTTTAGTTGATATATTTACAACAGTGTATTGACAGCTCTTCAGTGACTAGACGGCACTACTGCTTCTATATCGCCCAGCAGACGGCACCCGCTTATATATATAT